AAACGGCACTTAATCTTAGTCAAAATTGCTATTGAAACAGCATAGATTTCACACGTACGAGTTTGTCGAACCAACTGGCATGCAGTGGTGGAGTCTGTTTTCACACGCAAGAGGGATTAGGTTCTTGATTTTTATGACTTGAAAACGGTTACTTGTAAAAAATAATCTAAAATATACAAAATAAATAATTATCACTAAATTATTCAAACTAGTATAACATTTATGTAGCATTTTATTCGGTCATTCATTCTGAAGTTAGTTACACTTGATTTACAAAACGGAACTACCGATTTTATATTCTTCGGTAATCCTTTTCTTTTCTATGGTCAGGACCCACAGCTTCAGCTGACTATGGCTCTTTAAAGTGAGTGTCGTGGTTATCTGGTTGAAACCCAAATATATGTGAGTAGATTGACTATATTCATTTACTTTCATTCGATGTGGAGTATCATTTTTCAACTAGGTGCTGTGATCCAAAGGCTAGTAGTAAGAAACTATACCAGCGGAATTCCTTGGAGTTCCAATCAGGCGGTTATCGGCGTAACATATCAATACGTATGTTAAGAGCATCGTGATATTGAGCCTTCACGGCAGTTAATCACGTTTAATAACTCAGGAGTTCTCTCTGTAAAGCTGCCCTGCAGAAAGAAGATTAGATGATGCCGAGATAAGGTGTCCCTGTGGAGAGAGCTGGCTAAAATCCACAAGGCGGCACCTTGCACTCTTTGAATTATAATTGGTAATAAGAAAGTTCACTTGTGGAAACCAATCAAAGGTGAAAATCTAGTACCACCAGGGTATGATAATAAGCATCTACTTACTTTGCACATATGTGCAATAAGCATATAATATGTTAAGTATATGCAATACGTATGAAGAAAACAATATCATGTAAATATTTTTGTTTTTATGTTGAAGCTATTTGGGCATTTTTACTCTTTCTTAACTCGAAGTATTTTCAAAACCCCTCTTTACGCCTTGACTGGATTATTGTTTATCACTTCTTCAGACTAAGCAATAATTGACCTCACATCTGCATACCTCCCCGAGGAACCCTTAACCATTCTGAGATTTGATAGCGAGGTGTTGATAAGACTGTCAGTATTCGCAAATAATTTCAAGGCTCTATCCTTTATGTATTTTTGGATTCGATCTATCTTAAGGTCCCTGAGGACATCATTCGTCCTAATGTCTTCTCAGAGCCTGGCTTTGTGCAATTTGCTAATTCTTTACAGATGAACATGTTTATGCCATGTGAATCGTTTGTCGAACGTGATGCCGAGACATTTAACGCTCTCCTCCCAGTTGATTACCATATCACCATATTGTATATCTTTGTATACAATATCTTTTAGTATATTTATTACAGTGCTCTAATTTTTGTTCTAATGATATCCTTTTGACAATACTTATCCTAGTATTTACTATACTATATATCATAAATTTTTTTATAGTTTAGTTTGATAAAATATTTATTAGTATTTTTTCTGTAATTCAATATATATCTTATCCCCTTTTTTATCTTCTCTGAACTAACTGTGAAGTTAAACATATGTCCACATTTTCTATTATTGGAAACAATGTACAATTCATTGTATCCCAACATATTTTTCTATATTAGAATTTGTGTTCGTACATAGAATTTACCGATGTTTATCAGCAAATCCATTCATCAATGCGAGTGAATGCGTTTGATGATGGTGACGACAACAACAGCAACGTCATCGACAACAGCGATCAGGCCGGCAACGATATTGCCGTTTGCTGATCTTGTATGTGCTATTAAACTCCATAAATCTTGACTTGTTTAAGTTTGAATAAAATATACACAAAAAAGAAAAAATATCGTAAAAATAAAAATATATTTAACGATATTTTATAGAAAATATATATTTTATCGATAACATTCAAAAATTTTGTACTTTAAGTGAGCAACAAAATTGCAATGAATCGAGGGCAACGCAAGCATTCCTTGGCGAAACCGTGGAACAACGCCCGAGTGATCGATTCCATTATCTACAGGTACTTGCCATGATTTGTTTAGTATTTGGGTTACGGATTAAGCGCTAACATTTCAAAGGCCGCACTGCACATATTCGGAAAGAAAATTTATCGTTAATCAACATTTTGACAATTTTGTGGAAAATTGCTAAAAGCCCGAAAATATTTGAAATTTCTAAAGATTTTGCCGATTCGCTTGCCTTGTGCCGGGGTCTTTCCGCTGTGTTTACTCATATACAATAAATAGCTGTGCAGTGGATTTGGATTTGTTGTTCCTAGATGGATGCATAAGTGTTGCATGAGTTATTTGTATTTTTGTATCTTTAATTTGCTTCAGCGAGGCTTTTGGGCTGCGCGGTATTAAGCAGACTTTTCCAACACATGTCGAGTGTGAACACAAAAAAAACATATTTCAAATGAAAATAATTTGAAATTGAAAGAAAGCAGCAACGAAAGCGGCGTTGCGTTTCTTGGCACTGGTGTTGACTTGCATTTTTCATCGGATCTGGTGTTGACTTGTTGCACAGGTTGTGCATTATTAGATACATAAACTACGAGGAGGCAAATATTTCACATGAAGTGTGCAATTTTATTTAAAGCTTTTGTTTTTGTAGATTTCGACTCTATTCTTTTTGCCTTGCACGGATCCGAGGAAAAGCGGGAGACATTTCTATTATTAGAATTTTATTTTTACAGGTGAAATTTTTATTATTTTTCCGAAAATAAACAGTAAAATCATGAAAATGAAATTCATTTAAAATGGGAGATGTTATAAATTCTAAAGGTATTAAACAGGCATTAAAAATATTTGGTATAGAATTCTATTTGGTATAGAAGTTTACGAAATAGAAATGAAGAAACAGATTCTTAGTAATAAAAATGGCTATATAATCTCAAATAAATTCCAACAATTTTAAAATATGTACTTATGCCAACGATACTTCGGTTTATGGAACCGGAAAACCATGTATAGGTTTTCCAGTAGGTCTTTAAGAAACCCCCTGCGGAATCATTTTCTATTAAATAATTGATATTTAATTAATTAAAAATTTTAAATAAATGAATGATAACATTAAATTTAATTTTAATGGCAGTTATGAAAGCAATCGCTATTTTACTTAATTGAAACTATTGTACTTAATAAAGAGAAATAGTGATCAAAGACCACTGGTGATGGGTGTTTGGTACTACTTGAAGCAGCTGCATGGCCAGTCAAAAATTGATTTGTTTAAAAATTAAAAAAAAATATTGTCTTATGACAAAAAGAAATTATTTAAAAGTTCGAAGAGTTTGAATAGAAATGAAAAGACAAGAACAAAATTTTAAGTTAATTTATTGAAATTTGGCGGGTCATATAACGCTGTTTCCAGTATTACACAGTACACAGCATTATTTGTCTTAGGAAATATTCAAATTTTTTAATTAGTTTATAATTCGTATATAGGCTTAGAACTCATGCCTGTCTAATTAGAAGCGATGACCTATCATGTTTTTCCACAAGTAGCCAAGGCTGCACAAGTATTCAATGCTCAAGTTCTAAGTTATTCCAAAAATTTTGTTGTTACACATCACTACTGTTCGAGATCTCTTTATCAAATTTTAATTAAATGATTATTTTATTTATTATAAGGTGTATAAAGAACCAGAAATCAAAAAGAACTAAAACTGATGAATTGATTTGTAGTAAAAATTCCGCTATAATCTATTGAAATCAAAGAGAACTAAATCTGGTAAATAGAATGGTTATTGTTGCAATTAGAAGTATAATAATTTATATAATCACAGAATAACCTAAATCTAGTAAATAGACTATATCTGGTGGCATGTCCATATATTTATAAGTATAATAAAGTAAATTAAGCTTTTTTTTGATAAATGTCAGAAAGAGGAAACTATAGAACAAAACTCCATATTGTTGTCCAATAATTTGTATTTTCTTTTCTTTAGATTGGAAGTATTCTACCAACAAAATTTCTTTAATATTCCAAAACACTTTCATTAACCCCTTCTTGACAAACGTCCCAATAGTCCCAATAGAGGAGTCGTATTTATGGTTCTCTTAACACTTTTTAATTTATAAGTCAAAAGTTGGTAAGGTCAGAATTGACAACTAGTGGCAGATTCGAATATGGTGAATGTTGAAATACCCAACTAAATATTAAACTTTAGTGTTAAAAAATAATTGAATTCTAACTCTTAAATGCAATTTTTTAAAGAAACTCTGTCATTCTGCTTGTTGCAGAGTAGTTTCAAAGGCTTCAAGACCAGCTAGGTGTACTCTTGTTTACTCTCCTCACTTGTATCTTTTATTGACTATTCAACCTATTTAGTTTGTGCGTTAAAAAATCATTGAGTCTCGAGTCTTAAATAAACTTTGTTTCTACTGTATATCTAGAAGAGGTACGAATACTGCTGTGGACTCCAAACATTTCAAGATAAGGTAGGTGCAGTCTCATTAATTTCGACTTACATGTAGACCTTACTTATGATGCCTTTAGTGGACTGCAGTATTGGTCGCGGAGTAGACAATTGGGCTTAATGACAATATTTAATGAAAATCTGCCAAACATGCAAAGATATTAAGTTTAAAACATACAACAGTTATAATGACCAGTGTCACCTCTTATGATTTTCATCTTTACGGAATCAGTGAAATAATTGTTTTGAATATGATATCAAGTTGGGGTTGTAAATTTGATATTGTATATATAGTATATTATATTATATTATATTTAAAGATTGTGTTATACTTAAGTCCTCTCACTAAGTACTCTTTTGATCCATAAAATCGTAGCTACCTTAATCAGAATCGATGCCATCGGAGTCATTTATAACATGGAGTTATAAATCTCATGTTATACGGAGTTCAAAGTTGATACAAATATTCTGTTGCCTTAATGGAACAAAGAAACCATAGTTCACCTATAAAGTTTTAAAATTAAAATTACAACTTTTGACAAATTTTGAGTTAAATATTATAATGTTATTTTGTTTTAAGTTAGTTTCAAAATATACTAAAAAAAAATTTGAAAATATATAAAAATAGCAAAATTTATTGTAAATTTATAGTGGAGATTCCTAATCAACTATAACTGGCGTAAGTGTAAGTTGTAAATGTTTACATAGAGTATATACTATATGTTTAAAGATTCAATATTATAGCATTCCTTGCCTCATACAATTCCTTGTTAATATTCCTCGCCGAGGGTCCCATAGCCACGAGCTCCTAGATAAATAAATCTGTGAACCAGGTTAGTGTAAATAAAAATTTATACGGTGGTTTTTTTTTGCAATAAAAAATTGTTATAAATGCTAAAACTTGACTTTAAATTCTCCTAAAATTTAATGAATTTAGGAGAATATTAAGATAATAAATTTTTAATATAAATAATTTTCCAAACCCAACACCAAAAATTGCAACGTATAATTTTCTTTGATATTAGTGATATTCATGTCGGTTCCTAAAAATTTTGGAATCTAAATTGATAAACATATCTTTCAATGTATTTATAAAGATCTATAAATGTGATTTAATTTTCTTTATTTTAAGGGTACTTACACCTAAAAGTACTTGAGCAAAATTACCTCCGGTTGAGAATCACATACGGGTATGCATTTATTTATTGTACTGATCATAATTCTCTTAATAAAAAATTTAATAAATCTGTGTATATGAGTTTTAAAACTTAAAAAATTATTAGCTCTTAGATCTTAAATAATTAGTTCCCAATTTTCTAGGTATATTTACTATTAACTACATCGAAGCATCATGAACTGAATGTGCTCAAAAGTCAAGACCTTGAAATTACTACTAGCAATTCTTATCCCACAGTGACTCTTACGAACTCACATTCCATTTTTCAAACTATAATGTTCCTTGTATATTTCTAAAAATTGGAACACAGTTATCCCAATTTTAAAACAACTTTTTGGAATAGACGGGTGTATAAAAATTTTTCGTCTTATAGAGGTATGTAAAAATTAATTTTTCTGTTGTGTTTTCATTATTTTTTATTAAGATCTCAGTTAAAAATACTATATTTGACTCTTTATGACCTATTCGTATATCAAAATTCATCAAATGTTTAGGTCTCAAAGCAAAATGTCTCGTAAAATTTTAAATTGTTTGCAAAAACTTATGCGATCGTTTTCAAAGAATCACTCAAATATTCCAAAGGTTGAAATTGTGGAAAAACGAAAAATTGTTGATAATGAAGACATTGTGAAATCGTACAATAAACCGGGTGAAGCAGGTATATGTAATTTTAGTACACTTAATGGTTTTAAGACTTACAACTGGTATATCCCATATGAGCATAACACTAGAATGGATGAGGAATACTCATCAGAAGTGAATTTGAAAAACAATTACCTTAGCCCGTATGCAGTATATAAGAATAAAGTGAATGATAAACCCACAAGAAAACATGAATTAAAGCAACCCACATCAAATATTGTGAATAGTTATTATGAAATCATTCGTCAAAAGAAAAATGCCTTAATACCAACTGATCGCAAAACGAAACAAAATAAAAACTCATTATCGGCATCAATTGCTAGTTACTCGGATAACTATAATAATAAAATACAGTCTTCCCACCGAAAAAAAGATACTTACTTTACAAATACACCGACTTTAAAGTTCACATCGACACATGTGAAAAGAAGTTCTGAGGTATCACGTCTAGATGACGTACATAATGAAATTCTAATACCGAAAAAAGAGTATATAAAGAGCTTACATGACGTTGTTGAGGAAAATGGTCTGAAATGGGTGGTGAATATGGAAAACTCAGACCAATACTTGAAATTTAAGTCACCAACGTGTTATGGAGAAATCAAAAGTCAAATATCTGACTTTGTGAATTACAAAGATGTCAGACGTTCCACTACAACTACTGACATTACAAACGAGAGCTTGCCAACAACGCTTCAAAAGGAAACTAAGAAGGGTGAAACTGTAAAAGGATATAAATCAAATATGGATTATAAGTCATCCTCCAACTCTTTTGAAGCTATCGAGTCATCAATACCAGCAAATAGAAATACTCAGCAAAAACTTGATTTTTCGGACATGACTGACTGGTATAACTTTACGTGGTCTATCTAATCCAAAATCGATCGTCTTACAACTTTTTCTTGAGGAATGAATGATTTCTTCGAATTTATTTTCATTAATGTTGATGAATACTTAAATAGGAATAAAAAATGCTATTATTAACAAAGTGTCTTTTAATTTTCAAAAACCAGTAGATGAGAGAGATGGAAACATTTTTCGATCTACTTTAGATTTGAAGAAAATAATGCTATATACTAAACTTAGTTCATATACTAAATCCCTAGTTCACTTGGAAAACATAACCAAGCTAACCAGAAAAATAACCTTAAGTTATTCGGACATACAAATACGTTATCTTTTTGTACCATTACTATGATATACATATATTTTAAAAGTCCAATAAGACTGATGTTGATAGAAACTCATCTCAACAATTTAGAAAACCCAGACCTAGAAAAGCATAGATTGTTGTTGTGCACTTATCGATATAAAAAATATTTGTAAACTATCCTATCGAAATCCATTTGGTAGAATTTTCGCAAATGTTGAGCACGATCTATTAATAAGATAAGTGTATCTTTAAAAGTTTGATAATGTTTTAAAAGATTGATAAGACTGACATTCAAAGAAACTCTTCTCAATAGATAAACGGAGTTCTAAAATAGCATAAATTGGTGCTTTCAATGATATAAATGATATCTGTAAACTTAAAACAGACTTTTGGTAAAATTTTGGAGTCTTATTAACACATATTTTAAGCGCGATCTGTTAGCCAATGAGGTAACACCAGTTGGTTATTATACTTTTAAGTGTTCAGCGATAAGACGAAGTAGAAGTCTTTCAACTGACATGAGCTCGTGCGATATTTTTCTGTTCTAGAAGCTAAAACATAACACTTCGCGGAACATTTCTACGAATGTGAAAGGACAGACATCCTACTCACCTGACATGGCGAGTAAGTTGTCGTAAGAGGCGACTAAAATACCATCACTATTCCGATACTGTTTGGACTGTGAATAGTAATAAGTGAGTATCCCCACTAGCGACACCCGACCGGAGTTGTAAGTCTGGTATCATGGTGGTCAGGTGCACGCAGCTTCAGCTGTTCTGAACAACTGAGGTTGGCAGTGTCGTGGTGGCTGTGGTTAAAGTCTAAAATTTCGCGGGAAGAATAATAGTATTTTACTTTCATTCACGGCGTGAAATTACTTATTCACACCGGCTGCTGTGACCCAAAGATCCGCAGAGGTATTGGATACGCCTCGCGTGGATTTATCACAAATCCGTCTTTGAAATAAATACCGATTTAAAATGAGTGTAGTGTTTCTTTTCTAGATTCTAGATTTTTTAATCACATTTCAAATAGCAAATGAGAAATATGTGAAAGTACGTGTTAATCTAACAGTTGGGGACCTATTTTGATAGCGTATTGTTTGTTTAATTATACTTATATTATTATATACTTATATTAATAGTTCTAGAAACTTTTTGACTTTAACTGTATATTTTATTTTGTGAATTTTTTATTAAATTTTCTTTATTATTTCGGAAAAATAATTTATGGAAATGCACTTAACCCATTTTCGAACACCAATAAAACTATTTATAATGTAATTTTCAGTTAGAAACGGATAAATTAAATATTTGCATTTTCAGTTAGGAAACTGCAATTTGAAAAGTAAAATCTATATCGTCATATACAGTATTGTATATTAATACAATAACTTTAAAAAAAATATATGAATTATGACTTTTGTCTTACATTTTCTAAGCGATAAAAATCAAATAAAATTTATAACATTAATGCAAAACAGAAGCAAAATCTGATTTGTTATAGAGGGAAAAAAATATTTCAAAATATTTACTTTAAACAATAAACAATTGTAATTCTTTCTGGATTTGCATATAAAATAATTTTCCCATGTGAGTGGCTCTCCAACTAGTGTGAGAAAATGTGCGATCATAAAAATTTCAAAACAAAAAGTTTTTTTAATAATAAAAGTTGTACAATCAAAGAAAGTAAAACAAATTGAAGCAAGGAATATGATATGATATAAAATCAAATAAACGCGAAATATGTGTCAATGGCCAACAATGCGCCTGAGAACGAACGATTTATTTATTTAACTTATTTATCTATAAGACAAAAATGCTACATGAGTCACACTGAAAAACAGAAAATAAACAGAAAAGCTCATAAACGCACATGCTGCACGCCAAACAGTACAAACCCATACCCGTGCCCGCACCCGTTCCCGTACCCATTCCCTTACCAGTACCAGTACCAGTACCCGTACCCGTACCCGTACTTGTATCTGAAGCTGAATTTGTATCTGCATTCGTACGCGTATCTGTATCCGCACTTGGCAGCTAAATGAGTTTGTTACCAATTTACTAAGCAAACACTCGAATAAACAAAGCCTTTTAGAAAAACTTTACGATTTTAGAACAAAAACAAAAAACAAAAAAAAAGAAATAAAATAAAAAGAAAACAAACAACACGAAAATTAAAACATCAAATAAACAAAGAAGCGAAATAAGGTAAATGATAACGTAAATTATGAAATTAGTAAAGAAAAAGTTTAAATCAGATAAAAAAGTTACATAAATTGTAATTGGAGGATGCACATAATTTTATACCCAAAGAAAATACACTGCACAAAGTACACTGTGAGAAACAATAGCTCGCTGACGCATTTAATTAACTGTTTTAAGTGGTTTGCTAGAGGGAAACGCGTCTGCGGTGTCAACTTTAATTGGTCTAGTCTTATCAGGTTTCATTAAAAACATTAGGTACTGTTTAAAATAAATAATCATATACATACATATATATATATATATGAACTTCACATCTTCCATGGGGTGTCACAAGTAAAACTCACCTACTACTAATTATACTCCAAGCAGTATCTAGTGCCTACTGAATTTTACCCGCTTCTTACAACAGTCATGCCTTACCTCTGGAATATTCTAACCCCTATCACGAAGGAAGGACATCGATTGATAGTTGTAATCAATGAAGAGATTAAAGATAGCTGGGCACTGGTTCTAGTACCTACTCAATTTGAGCTACCTCTTATAACAGTTATGCCTTAACTCTGAAATATTCTAACCTCTATCACGAAGGAAGGACATCGATTGATAATTGTAATTAATGAAGAGATTGAAGATAGCCGGGCACAGGTTCTAGTACCTAGTCAATCTTAGTCACCTCTTATAACAGTCATGCCTTAACTCGGGAATATTGATAGTTCCAATCGATGAAAAAAGCAAACATCGGTGTTGAAAATGTTAATAAAGATTATAGTATCTACAGAATTTTAGTCGCCTCCTACAATAGGTATGCCTTACCTTGGGAATATTCCAACCCCTATCCTGAAGGAAGGAGATCAATTGATAGTTGCAATCGATGAAGAAAGCAAACATCGGTGCTGTAAATGTTAATAAAGATTATAGTACCTAATGAATTTTAGCCATCTCTTACAACAGTCATGTCTTAACTCTGGAATATTCCAACCCCTATCCTGAAGGAAGGAGATCAATTGATAGTTGCAATCGATGAAGAAAGCAAACATCGGTGTTGTAAATGTTAATAAAAGTTATAGTACCTAAAGAATTTTAGCCGCCTCTTACAACAGGTATGCCTTACCTTGGGAATATTCTAACCCCTATCACGAAGGGAGGACAACGATTGATAGTTGTAATCAATGAGAAGATTGAAGAAAGCAAAGACGAGACACTGGTTATAAAGTTGATAGCAATGACTTAAAATGAGGTTGTCTAATGTTAACCCTTTTCCGAGTTAGTGCATCTGGGCACTTTTACTCTTTAATAGCTGCAGGGTTTCTGCAGATTCCCACCCATCTCACTGACAATTTTTGTATTTTTCATATCTTCTGCTTACAGTCCCGTGCGGTAAGTGATTACCCTTAGATTAGTTAGTGCTAAGTAGAGTACCCTGTCGGTTTTCGCATATAGCTTCAGGGCTCTATCTCTTATGTATTTTTTGACCGAATCTAATCTAAGGTCTCTTAGCATGTCATTCGTGCGGATGTACCATGACACTTTGAAGAGTCTTCGGTGAACCTGACTTTGAGCAACTTGTAGCTTCTGGATAGTAGAGTCGGCAGCTTTACTATACGCGACACTCCCATAAAATAGTACTGGTCTAATTATTTGGCTGTAGATCAGATTTCTGTTTGAGCAACTACTTCTTTTGAAAAACGAGATGGCATAGATATAACTTGCATACATGTTGTGATTTAAATATACAAAATATCGAAACTTCATATGTTGGCATATGAGTTTCATGTCTAAAAGCACCTATCAATTAAGAATATTTCCTGCTAATCTCACTTCTAAGCATTTTCTTTATTAATACATATCATAAATTAAATTTTAAATTTCATTTTTGAAGTTCAACTCAAGAAAATCCACGCTGGAGTAAAAGTCAAAAGCACATAATATAATTGCTAAGCACTTCGTTGAGAAGTTCCAATTATGTTATCAAAAATGAAGCCGGTTAAGTTATTTGACAAGTAAATAGTAAATGGGTTTGTCAAGTTGACAGCTGTGAAAATAATGAGCCCTTTCCGAATGCCAACATATTCCATATTGAGGAACGCTGAAAAGCTGACAAAATAAATGTGCATACTTGTACGTGGAAAGGCATTCTTACCCACTAGGTACACTATTTTCTACATACATAGTTATTCCCATATTGACATACAAACTAGCATTTGTACGCTAACCAAATTATGAATAATCAAGCTAATTACTTAAGAAAATTGTTTCGTCTGAAAAGCAAATGACTTACTTTTTGGTAGTGGAATTATAACCAAAGGTTGCCGTCATAAGCTCAGCAAGAGCGCAACAGGTAAGCGGCGGCCTCAACGGAAATAAACAATAAAGCCAAATCGTTGTTGTCTACTTGTGTGTGAAATGTGACAGAAATTATTTAATGGACTATTAAGGAGCGGAAAATGAAAAATTATAGCCAATTTTGGAATGGTGAAGTGTTAGAGAATTATTGATGAGCTACATTGACGCCAAAACGTCACTGAGGGGCTTTTCCATAATATTTGTATTATAAATGGAAATCTAAATAATAGATATTAGATAGATTTTCTTAGAATTCCTAAATAAAACATTTAAACGCTTGGGATATTAACGATTAAACTGAATATATAACAATTTACAAATATGTCTCACATACTGATATTATAAGCTGTCCATACTTTTAAATACAACTATGAATTAAGGACATTACATACCCAAAAGCTATTTAACCAACCCATCTATAATCACACATATATTTGACAATGGATTATATGGATATGATATATTTTTAATGGCGTTTTCGATTGGTGAGTCTGGATTCAATTGAACATTTTCAAAGTAGTTTAACTTCAATTTTAGTAGTAGTGTTAGTAGATATTTATATTTTTCATTATTTTTCATCATGACACTTATCTGTCAGATAATGGAAAACAGCTGTTTTTTTTTTAATCTTGCAATTCGGACAAAGTATCTGGAGTGTGTTAAATTATTTTCACGTGTCACACATTTTGCCACAAACATACCAATCGATAACAAAAATGCATCTCGATTAAAAAACATTACCCCAGATTTAACAATCGAAAACGGCATTAGTCTTCTTCTTTATTTGAAGGAATATAAGTTAATGTCTAAAGCACTTTTAATTAATATCTGTTTTCATTTCGATAATACATTGTTCCATTATTGATATTATAGAAATATAACTGGAAGCCCAAGATATCTTCTTGACGGAATCAAACAATTTCAGCACTCTGTCTTTAATGTACTCTCAATTCTCAAGTCCTTATGCATGTCTTCGTTTTTAATATGCCATTATGTTGTAGGCATAACACATAAGATTCCTAGCAACAGCAGGTAGATGTGGTTAATTGCAGAACCTGGTAAATCAGCGAATAAAGTGTTTTTATATATAATATATAGTCCCGATCCTTCCTGTTCTAGTTCCGATCGTATAAACTATAGATATTAAATATTTAATGTTTTCGTACCAATTTTAATTTCTGGAAAGCTTAGACAACTTAAATACATCTGTTAGTTGGCATAATTGAGTCTTCTAATAGAAACCCACAAAGTAAACTTCCAAAAAATATTTTAAGTTGGGTTTACTCATAATCCGAAGTCGATGTTACGAAAACAGTATTGCTGTATTATGTCATATTATTTCGAACATCGTTTCTTTTGAGTGAGACATAAACATACTCATTTTAATTTAAGAGCAATAAACGCCACTGTACCTCAAAGTAAGTTCATCTCCCAGTCTCATTTTGTCAGATATGTTTTTATTGCAAATAAACTCCTCAATCAGACTCTCTAGTCTATTTATTATTTTAAATATATAGACAATACTTTATTTTAAATACATTTATGTTAAGTTTAAATTTATTATAGCTAACAACTTCAAACTCTTTAATCTCCAAAGTCAGTTTCTGGATTAAACATACCTATACGGATGATTTTTGGATTTCAATGGATTATAATTCGTTCTATACTTATAGATCCTTTTTATTTTCTTTACCCGAATGGAAAAAGAGGTTTTTCCTTTTGTGTCGAAAAGGAGAAACCTCTCCCTCCTATATCTCTCTAACGCATACCGATCGTAGCGTACCAGTAATTGACAATTTTTACGTTTTCCGTAAGTTACTCTCCACTTGTTTATTTATTTCCCGAATTTTTAGTCATTGTTATTTAAACGGAAAACACAAAATTACGTGCTTTTCGGTTCAAACTTTCTTGCAGTCGAAGTTCTGTGGTAAATATTGATTTAAAATATTTGTTAATATTTTCGAAATTATTCAAAATTATTTATAATATATTTGAAATAGTTATGGATATATATGAGTGTTTATTTGTGTGGTATGTTGGAATTATTACACAATATCTTACGTCTTCCGCTTAAATTACGAATCTTTGTTATACAAAGAAAAACCACAATTGGGATTGCAAGTTTGCAGTCAACTTCCGGTTCGAGGCAATTATTCGAGATTTATTGGATTAGCACAACAAGGCAAGGAAATGCCAGTAAGCCCAAGTTTTGTATACGTATGATATGTAGATGCGGGCATATACATAACTTTATGTGTTCGGAAAAGTGCATTGGTTTCCTATAATTATGAAAAATGATATATGAATATTTTAAAATTTTCTTCAAATTTATTTCTTCCACTTAAGAACCGAAACAAATTTTAATATAATCAAGTCAAGAAGCTTTTAAAATTTTCCCAAAAATAAATGCTGGCACACAGAGTTTTGAAGTATAATAAAGACTTAATTATAAAATATACTTCAATACACTATATTCCATGGAAATAATTCAAATTTATTTTAATGTAAATATTTTATTTATTTTATAATTAATGCAAACTGTATTTTACTTTGGATATAAATAAACACAAAATATTTGTTGATTTGTCGTATCAAGACCGGCATTTATTTATTTAGATTTTAATGGAGTGGCAATACAAATAATTTTCCTCGATTTATAATTGAAACTCATAGACACATTGGCGTCTTTGCATGTACAGAAATAGATAATATATAAAAAAAAATAATTCAATTTGTTAAATGTAGCTGATAAATATAATTTTAGAAGCAATATATATATATATATGTATAATTATATTTATATATTTATAAATTCATATATAAATTCATAAATTCATCACGCAAAATATAATGATGTATTAAGCAGCTTAGTAATTTTAATTAAAAAGTAATTTATAATAATAATAATTTACTTAGTCTATTGTTTTGAATATAAATTATTAATAAGCGTTCATAGAAGATAGACATTAGAAGTAAACACACTCAAAAAAATATATTTTAACCACATACTAGTTATATTAAACTGATCATTTTGTTAGACAAATTTTAGCTCATGTGGTAAAGAAGATATATAAACCAACATGTGGTATGGTTGTTCCAACATAATGAATCGAGTAGGAATATTTTGATCTGAGCTTCAGTTCGAAACTGGTTAAATCAACTAGATTATCTTTGTAAGTATAGCAACCCGTGTCCAAAATGCACGACTCGCTTATACCTTGTTCCCACTGCAACTAAATCAACTTAAATTAATCAAATTAAGATTAGGTCGTTTCCATAGAAATGATAGAAGTCGATTTAAGCATGTGAAAGAGCTTCTAAGTGCCAGAAAGTTTTGTAAAAGTTTTAGAAGAGCTTTTGTTTATTTACATTTCAGTTAACATCCAATTGAAATCAATATTTATTGTTAAATAATATATGATATTGTATAATGATATAAAATATATATTTGATATATAAACTTATTTATATATTTTTATAAATCAAGTATATATTTTATTTATAAAAAACGAAAACTGACAGACTTACCAACACAGCGTTATCAAATCTCAGATTGGTTACAGGTTCCTCGTGAAGGTATGCCGATCTGAGGTCAGCTATCGCTTAGTCTGATGAAGTGATAAACAATAATCCAGTCATGGCGTAGAGAGGGGTTATGAAGAAACTTCGCAGTTAATAGAGAGTAAAAGTGCTCAAGTGCATTGACTTAACCATAACATAAATATATAAAAAACAAACAAATTTTTAAAATTACCTCTGGTTGCTTAGACTTGTTTATTTTTTGCTTATTTATACTTTGTTTGATATGTCATATATGACAAATATATCAAATTTCGATCATTTCCCTTTCGGGAAGTATATTTTGCAAAGTTGAATTGGACATTTATGATGTAATGTCCTAAATTTATTTTAACCTTAGCTGGGAATTTGAAAACTTATTGTACAGTTAATCAAATTCTAAATCAATTAAACTTGTTTAATAAGGGCAATGGGAACATGCAATTAGACTGTAAGAGCATGTTCATAATGATCCCATAATTTTAATATGTAACATAGCGATTCCGAAGTAAATGTTAATGTTAAAATAACACAATATATGTTTATGTGTAAATAAATATATTAATATGTTATACAAAAAACAATACAAAAAACCAAAGTTACCATTGTGTTTAATTAAATTAATATGAAATCTAATAGTATTATTAAAAGAAATTTTTTTCATTATATCAAAAATTCTAAAATCAAAATTCAAAATTGTATTCCGTTAAAAACTTTTCGAACTTTTTTTCGATACGATTCGCCAAATTATTAAAAAATTTGAAAAAAATTATACCATTTTAATAGTTATAGTATTTAACACTGACAATGGCGAGTAGTAAAATCTGGAAAACGGTTATTGGAGCATTTGTGAAAAAAGCAGTATCACCAGCTAATAAGGGAAAAGCAACAGAAACTCAATCGCAGGAAGCAAAATCTCAAATGTCGATTACGAAACTTAATGCTTTAAGAAATAAAAACGAGGCTGCACAAACCACCCAAGCAGAAGCACAACGTCTCGATGATGTGTACTTTCAGAATATAAATGTGTCAAAGAAAACAGCTGGTCAAACAGTTGCAGAGTACACCGAAGCCGAACGTTTAAAGCATGAGTCAACAGATAGTAATTACTCTTCAAACAAAATGCCGAATTATTCTAAACCACAATCCACTACTAAGTATAGAGGTTCCAGACGAAGGAGTATATCCGTAAAATATTCAGCCAATATGAATGCTCCTTTTACGCCTGGACCTCGTAAACGTTGTTCCATATGTGAAGATAGAGCTCCTAAGAAACCAAATGTAAAAATTGAAACCAAAGATGAAGATGAAAACTAGAAAAATAGTCCTGGTTTTCCTCTAAAAAGGAAGACACAAACACATACAATTCAACATGCAGCGATGAGACGTAAATATGCATTTAATTATATTGGTCAAACATTTCTAAGTATTGATAGAACTAACATATATTATCGCTACAAATAGACTAAACTGGTTTCTCTGGAGTGTTCCACATATTTTAAAAATGGGCTCTTTTTAAATCCTCTCGAATACATAAAACTTGTTATTCATTTGAAGGGCTATCATGTAAGTTTTTTGAATTATACATATTTTGTTAATAATATATCTATTCAAATTTGCATTCGAGTGTATATTATATACAAGGTAGAACGCAAAGAAAACAGAACATTTCAAAAATATATGTTTGTAGGCCGGTTCCATTAGCATAAGTGTCGTCAAGTTTTGACAGAATATCAGTTAAGGATTTATCCTTTCGTTGTATGAATTTGCCAATATATTAGGTCATTATAAATATCTATTCTTAAAAAGCTCAGTTTACTTTGAAAAACACCTTATACTAATATATATGCAAATATGTGACGTCAATATTGTTATAGACACTTATACATATCACTACCGACAAAGCTCTTTTCCGATCCAATGAAGATTATAGTTTATGAAAGTGTCCCAAATCTAGAGATCTTATTGTACTGGCCTCTCTGATACTAGCACCCTTCCCATATCCCACCATGTTTATACTTACTGTTTGCCACGATCCAGTTAAAAAAATGTCAATTCTCATCTTTGTTATTATTGTGACAACCAAATATAGGTGTTTGTCTGCTTTAGTATTCCATGCCTATTCAACATGGTCTCGATAAGTGGTTTCTTATTGCTTATTCAACCTGGTTCAGTCATTTTAGTTTCAGAATTTCTCGTACTTTGGTTTTCTCTAATCACGAAACATTTCTATAGGATTTTTGAAATGTTTTTGATCTATTCAACAAGATTACCGGTTAAGTGTTTCCTTACTGCTTTGTCAATCTCGTCTATTATTAATATTCGGTTCACCAATTAGGGGCTTATTGACCGATCATGAAAAATTTCAATAGAACATTTAAAGTATTGAGCTTACAATGAAACTTACATTATCTGAGAAGGGATTGGACATATGTTTGGGTAACGGTTAACGATCTGAGTTTTAAAGTCCATATGAGCCTGTTAATTAAAACTTGAAACGACTATTTTTCAAGTAATTATGATCCACTTATGGCTTATAGAATTAACTTAGGAAGTCAAGGACTAATTCAATTATTCATCAGTAAACTCCTGTACAATATTTTTAAGTTCAACTAAGATGGCAATTATGGAGAAATATTATAGAAGAAGTTGGACGTGGAGACATACTGTAATTTCATAAAAGGGGACACAATATATGTCTACGTCGCAGTAATGATCATTATTGAAACTCAAGTAGACTTCGGTGTGCAAATTTATCAATCTAACCTAACCTAACCCAAGAAGGTACACACACTTGATTCATTCAGAAAATTGTTGTTTGGATTTATTGTATGAAGCAGCGGCCCTATGCGTGGAGCAGCGGCAGATCCATTGTGTTTCTATGAGTGCGGGCGGATGGAATACCTGTAATGAAGTTGTTACCATACTTAGGAAGTTGATGTGTGCGTTCGGTGAGCTTGCTGGAAACATTGCTTTTCGAATATAAGTTTCAGGACTTGTACCCACAGAAAAGCTTATAGGTGCATGTCAGTGACAGAGCTCCAGTATTGGAGCTCCAATCTGTTGAGTTCAATGAGTAAGTGGAGATCTGGACATAAAATTAGGATTAATAAAATGTAATTGTTATTTTGCACATTAAGGACTAAATTTCTTTGAATTCTCTCTAAAAGCTAAGTAGGCACCAGAAAGGCTAATGGTATCTAAAGAGCATAAGGAGCATAGAAAGCTTTTGGGGTTCTAAAACCCAAAAGTTCCCAATGGTTCTTAAAACCATTGGAAACTCAGGTTCCCAATATGCTTAGCCCTGCTTTTAATTAAGTAATTACTATAATACATTGTACCAACTATTGGTTAATTTCATTTGCATCTAAAGTTCAGTATTCCATTTTTTGTTAAATACAAAAAGTTCATTTTAAATACTATATTACCTTAATATCCTGATATCCAATATCACTACAATGTAGTAATAACTGTAATTAAGATTAACATTCTACGAAGTGCACTTTTCTTCATTTTATGTTCATTTATGAACTTCAATTTGTTTATTATTTACAAATAATAAAATTTGTTTCTTTTTCTTAAAAGTTTCGCAATATTTACCAAATGCACTGAAACATACAAAAGAGTTAACAAGAGATTTAATTTCCCATATCGTATTTACTTTAACAACGCATCGATACAAGAAACATTGACGATGTTTCGCAAGTGTGTCAATTATGACAGCAAACAGAAAAAAAGATATCGAAAACCACAGAAGAAAAAAGATTGTTTTAACGCATTTCCGTTAAACGGCAAATATAAATACAAATAAACCTATAAGCAAACAGACATTTGGACGGACGGACAAACAGACAGACAGACATGCAGATAGAGTGCGCGACAGATAGACGAAGGTATGGATGGATACATTCACCAAAGAAGCGATAAAAAAGCAAATAAACACTTAACCAATTGAGATTCATGGTACACGCACACATTAATTGCTTTATAAAAGTGAAATAAATCCTACACACCACGTACTTACATCCAATATCTCAATGAAGCAAAAGTATCTGAATCTGTATCCGTATCTGCTCCAATACGGACATGTATCTGTGTTTCTATATCGGTTACCGATTTTGATTATTAATTGCAATGTGTTGACAATGTGCGCACTTACACGTTCCATGCACGCTGTATTTGTCGCTAGCTCATCGCACCCAACGGATAAGATCGCGAAGTGTAATGGCTGGCGTACATAACTCATTACCCCAAATTAGAGTGCTACATTCGAGCACTAAAACGGTGTCATTGCATGGAGCTGATAATATCAGAATAAGTGAAACAAGCAATGCAATGGCACTAAAATGCATTCAGCTAAGATAGCATTCTGCTTTGATATGTGGATGGATGCATTTTTAATATCAACAAAATTATTCTGTTTTCTGTGTTATTTTTTTTTTAATTTAATTTTTCTTATTGTAAAATTGTTTTTTCATATTTGTTTGTTGATATTTTTTTCGATAGATTGTTTATTGTTTGTTTGCCGTTTGTTGCAATCATCGTTGCGATATGTTTGACTTTTGGTTGAATTTATTTTCAAAGCGCTAAGTAAACAAAAACATGACTGAAACAGACACTTCGGCATTAAAACAGTGAAGGCAGAAAATATTAGGACAAATCAAAACTTCTAATTACAAATTTATCTATTATTTTTGTAATTAATAAACAAGATAATTTCAAAAGGGTGTGTTATCAGGTTTCCATAATTAGGCAGAAAAATAGATTAATAGATCGTAACATTCAAAAAGACGTTATTAAGAGCAGTAAAGTACCAACCACGACTGAACTTATATTTACCTTAGAATACTTATAAGGGATGCTTAAAAATTTTTTATGAAAACATTAGTTTTTATTAACTGGTTTTTATTACTTAATACAGTATTCTCACACCCCGTTGTATTTGGTCTAACAATTGAATCTATGAATATATTTGAATCACCCCAAAAACTTTTTAGGCCTCGATTAGTTGACAACAGCACGACCCACAGTCAAAGAACCCTATACGCATCTATTACAATCTCTGTGTCATATGTTTTATTCAAGATCTGATAACCCACAGTTAAGGAACCCTAAACGCATCTTAAAGCTATTTTTTTTCCTTTCCTTCTTATTTGTAATATATTGCAATATATTGCAATCTCTGTGTCATGTGTTTTAGTCAAGGTCTCAGTCTGGACAATATCGTAGATTTCATCGTTAGTTTATGGTAAAACAATTGTGATTTAATGTTTCAAACAAACTAGACCACAAGATGATGTTTGATGAAGCTGATGAAAGATACTTCATATTGAAAATTAGTGTGACACTGTATTAGCAATATATCGTAATCTTTCTTCTTCTTCTTCATCTTCTAGAGTTTTGTGGATACCATTGTAGCAGAATCAATTTACACAATTCTGTAATTTCGGAGTATATTTCCAATTAAATGTCAATCTCTCTATTTGTTATTAATTTAACCTTATTTTCAAACAATCGTTCAGATCGCCCGGGGATCTATAAAGCAGTTAAAATGAAAGGAATTACATAACGTATGCATGGATTAGGAAGTGGATGGGTAAAGGTTGTGTGAGAACGGAAGAGATTATTAAGAAGTGGGAGTGGATAAAGAATGAGTGTTATTTTAATTAAAGTCAATCAGACAGAGAAACGTAGCCCCTTCTACGGGGCAGGACCAAATGTCTATTAGACTAGTGTTTGTGAGTGTTTTGAGAGAGTAATAAAATTCTATCTTTCATTTATTTTTTTTATTATAAAAATCGATTAGTCTTCACAAACTTTCTCCATTTATTTCCATAGTCCATGAATGTTCTAAGTGATCGTTATGAGTAGTTCATCTTGGTTCTTTCCTATATAATTGCAGGTCTTACTCGTTAGCTAGAGTTCTGTAGATGACTTTCCAGCGCCATTTTCAAGAATGAGTTATATCTTCTCGAAGCGTAAGCCGAATCCATTGACATTATCTATTTTTTATTTGTTTGTTTAATCCTTTAAATCGTCATTTAGCCACCACAAGCTCCCTTCATTTAACTCGATCGCCAGCTGGTGTTCTGAGTTGCTGTCATGATTATTGCAATTTTTTTAGGAATGTTTTTCTTGATGTAACTACGGATATTCATTCGCAATGGAGTCCTGTGGATTCGTTGCGGTGTATTTTTTGGGATATTAATATATATTATTTTCGGAACGCATGCCTTAAACTGGATATATACGAGAATTTAGATTGTAATTTCAACTGTTAAAAATGTTAAACTGATGTCTGAAATTAAAAAGCTAAAACAACGATACACCGATATTCATTGTGATTTAATTGTCAGATTTATCAGATGTTCTATTTTTCGCTACTAAAATTCCCATACAAATCTTTTTGATTTGAACTTATTTTGCTATCCAAATCAAAAATAATTTGAAATGAACTTTAAAATTAAAATCAAGACTCTCGTGTGAACCCAGTATAATACCTATATATTATATTCTTCATTAAATCGGCTTAATGCCTTTTAGTGTTATAATTATTAATGTTATAG